ACTGGTAAGTTACCTTATATTAACAAATATAAAACATTTCTGTGTTGATATACAGTTATATCAACACGAGGTGAAAGATGGGGAAAACGAAGTGGAACAAAGGGAATGGAACAAGGTAGAAGTAGGTAACCAATCATTTTAATATATGCGAGTGAATGGTATAGCAAGGGGACGCAAGCAGGGCTCAAGAGAAAACAAACAAAATGCCAACAAACAAGGTGTAAACAAATAAACAACACAACAACTCACCTGTTTCATAGCGACCACCTCCTCTGTGTCCAAGTTAACACATGCATAAACCTTTCCAAATTGACCTTCACCTAATTAAAAAATATAATTAGAAACTAATTAGACGTTTCTTAATCCATAATCCACTTCATACAAAATTTTACCAAATTTAACATCTTACCAATTTTATTCCCTCGTTGCCATTTAAACGGCACTCGTTTCGGTATAAAAGCCAGTTCCCCTGCGAGATCACGTTTCTTGTTACTCACTCGCCCTATCACACCTTTATCTAACATCTTCACATGACGGGTGTATTCGAGCAAAGCTACACCATCTCTTACACGCACTATCCTGCGCTGTGGTACTTCCACTCCACTGTCAACACGATCCTCACCAGCATCGTTACCTACAAGGATATATCCAAAGTCCAATTTCGTGTTAAGGCTAATTTCCACTCAGGAAAATTATCCGTGGATTGGAACGGACAAGAAAATTTTTCTTTGTGTTAAAGTCATTAGTTCCAACCCAGAGCTCACAAGACAAAGAAAAATTTTCTTGTCCGTTCCAATCCACAGGTAATTTTCCTGAGTGGAAACTAGCCTTTAAAGGCCCATTTCCACTGGGGAAAACTTCCACGGACAGAAAATTTTCCGAAAATATCATTGTGAAAAGTTGAATATTTTCAACTTCAAAATATTTTTCCGACGGAAAATTTGTGTTGGCCAATCACATTTTACAAAATTTTCTTCCTGCGGAAAATTTTCCCGAGTGGAAATGGGCCTTTATCTCCAGAAAAATTTCCACGGTCAGAAAGTTTTCCGAAAATATCATTGTTAAAAGTTGAAAATTTTCAACTTCAAAATTTTTTTCCGACGGAAAATTTGTGTCGGCCACTCACATTTTACAAAATTTTCTTCCTGGGGAAAATTTTCATGAGTGAAAATGGGCCTTTAATACGATATTTTTTACGTATCCTGCTGACAGACACATACACAAATGCAGATGAAAACATAACCTCCCACCAAGAAACATACCTAGAGTATTAGCACGCTTTATGTTGGGTCGTCCTGGCTCTGAGATAGTTCTCGATGGATGAATATGAGAGTGGGTGCCAGGAAATGTTGATGATCGCGAGAACCTTGTGTTGGGCGACCACGCGCCACCTGCGGTCGGACTGCTGGAGTTCAGTAAGTTGTCTGCACTGCCCACCACATGATCTACACATCTGTTGATCTCATGCTGCAGTTTCTAAAAACACATTGCAGGACTTTCACAATGGGTGATTTCAGCTATAGGCTAAATTCTGATCAAGGCAAGAAGAACGACATCCAACACCACAGCTAGAAAGAGCGTCTTCGAATGAGTGAAAACTGCAAAGATTGGTTGCTAAATGTTGTAAAATGAAGAAAATATAGCCCTGTGAAGTCCGCAAATTTTGTATATATTTGTATTACGCGCGCTAAAAATAACCACTTTCGGCTCAAAAATGGTTATTTTCCCACGCATAATGCAAATATATACAAAATTTGCGAACTTCACAAGGATATATTTTCTTCATTTTACAACAATTCGCAACCAACCTTTGCAATTTTTCTCATTTTAAGATGCTCTTTCCAGCTATGGTAATGGATTTCGTTGTTCTTGTCTAGATCAAAATTCCGTTTACAGCTGGAATCATCCATTATGTGGCTGTGTTGATATACAGTAGCAAGCGGCTATGGGGAGCAGCTTAGGGAGTTTTAAAGTCATCCAAATTTTATTGATTAGATAGTAACACAACTGATCTCCGTAACTAAATTATAATGTATCACTACTTTCATCCTTCAACAAGATATTAAACTTTGAATTTAAGATGGCAAATAACTAAAACCAGTTTTACGAAATACTGTAGTACGCCATTTTCGAAAATAACCAGGCTATAAAGTAGACCAGATTGAGGACAAACAACTCTGTTGTTTGAAAGCTTAGAGTTGAGGAAGGAGAGCAGAATTGATAGTTCAAGTACTAAACAAAGTAACCGGCGGTAAACCTCGTGGCACTCGCTAGAGCTCCGGCGGCCGACGGCTTATTTTGAAAGCCCTGTCATTGAAAAGACATGAAATAAGTATCTACATAGACATTAGTGTCGCGCAATGATAACATTTCACCGTAACCACTTACTTGAAATTCTTCGTTAGACAAACGACAGGAGATTGTCGGGTGACAAGCTTCTATAAGAAACTTGAGTCCCTGACCTGCCCATCTTGGCCTGCTTCCCTTTCCTTTCTCGCAGCGTTTCGAGACAAAATTCATCCATTTCGACGCCAACTCCAGATAATATTTACCAACAATGGACAAAGACGCTTCGTCTGATTCTGGAATTCTCCTCATCTCTCGATGGAACTAAAGAAATGATTTGTGTTGTGGGAACTTCATGTTTTAATGCAGCGGCAGATACTAGAGGGGGGGCAACCCCCCCCCCCCTCCTCTTTGATAAAACCAAACTACGCTAGGCTCCACACAACAAAACCTATGAAACTTACATCAAAGACAGCATTAAAAGCAAACTGTAGAGCCTCCAAAGTACTACTATTTAATCTACTTCGCTCATTTTCTTCAATGTCGTACATCTTCTCAACGTCTAGGTTCTCCACCGCGCCGTGCAAAGCGTCACAGATCTTTGTTCTCAGGTTTACCAAGGAATCCTAGAGATATTTTCACATTTATTGTATACATTATAAACGGATATCTAATTGAAATAATACACCCTTTGGTTGCAGAGCCTCGTTCCACTACAAATGTATTGCACTTACCGAGATCTGTGTCTTCATGTCAATAAGATCAAGATGACACGAGGTTGATCCTGAAGCACAGGTAACAGCCTCGCCCATGTGAGCTTTGAGCATGTTGATATGAATATTGAGAGCACAAGATGTACATGCCACCATTGCGAGTTCATCCACCTAGAAAGATGTAGAACTGAATATGGACTGTTGTGCCATAGCATTTTCTTTTGCGTCAAAATTATTACATGTAGTTCTGCTCTGGTACTCTCAAAGCCAAGAAATATGCTAGGCTTTGTCACAACATCAGGCCTAAGATGGACCAAATGAACAAGCTTTCGTTGGTAGGGATGCAAGCTTGTTCATTTCATTGGCACTACCTACACTGGCAAAGACAGTTCAGGATTGTATCTAAGATGGATCATCCGTCAGAAGGATGACGCATTTTGATCTATCCCTGGTATAGATCAGGGCTTGAATTTCATCACGGCAATTACCGTTGAGGGAGAACAAAAACCCGATTGGGCTGTCAATTTCCCGTTTGTAATACAAAATGACTGAAAAACGGCAAACTTCGCATGGCTATCCGCATTTTACAACATTTCGTAACGAAACTTTGGAATATTACTAATTTTGTGATGCTCTTTCACGCTATGATGAAATTTTTGTCCAGATCAAAATTTAGTCTATAATGCAAATGGTCCATTCGAGGCCTGGTATAGATCTGGTGAATATTCACAGAATAAGCCAAACCTGGATATCAACAAGACCAAGCGAGGCATCTAGTGCAGGAGTGACGTTAATCTTATCCCCAGTCCACTGACATCCTTCAGTGTTTTTCTTTGACAACAGTACAATGTAGTTGTCCATTCCTTTGGCACACGCACTGGATTGACTATGCAGGCCACAGCAGGCATTCAGCAACTCAATGATACACCTAAAACAACATCACAGACAGGGTCTTAGCTAGAGGGCCGTGTTGGCCATGTTATCGCGGCCAAAAAGGGAAAAACACGGCTAGATAAAATGAACGCGGTTTCATTATTTATATAAGGCCGTGTAGGTTCATAAAATAACAGACAGAATTTCTTCCTATTCACTGTACGTTGTAAGAAAGTTTGTAAAATCTACGGTTATTGTTGAAATTGGCGAAAGTGATCTGCATGTGATGTTTTAATGTTTTGGTGAATAATGGGAACTGTATGGTGTTAAAATGGTTTTAAATACCCCCAAGAGTTACTGAAAAAACTTGTGCACACCCTGGTCATTTAGAAACACGCCCAAGATCTAAAGTCCTAGCTAAGACCCTGATCACAGATCATTTACCAGACAACAAAATTAAGTATGTACAATTAAAAATAGGAAAACATACCTTCTCGATTCTTTCAAGGAACGTCTTACAAACATCAAAGCGCAAATATTGAGTTTTGTGACAACCTAAAAGAAAAGAAATAAAATTGTTTATCCACCAAATGCAATCATTCATAAGCAAATCATTATAGGAACACTTTTATTCCAGCCAACATGGATGGATCCAGCATGATCTGGTAGGGGGGTGTTCTGCCAGCTCTGGTGCTGAGTTGTGTCGGTCATGTGCGCCGCCCGCCCATCAACTACTGTATTTAAATTGTAATTGTTGTTCACAGTTCACTTATCATCATGTTATTACTCAAATTACTGTATCTTTTTTGCTTTATCATGAAAAATAGCACCCCCTCTGGCCAGGGCTATGGGGGGAGGGGGGCACACCTCCTTGCACCCCCAGTAAAACCATCCCTGCCACTCTGCCAGTCAATAAATATATAAGCTAAATAATAGAACCTAAGAATCTTTTAATCTTCATACTCAATTAACTTTTAAAACTCCCTTCATTAGTACTATAGTCTATATACATATTGCCAGTTAGTTAGTTTATAAACTGTGAAATTGTGTAATTCAACCCTTTGGGTTGTGAGGCAATTGACAAAAAAGATCTCTTAAATAAATCATTCGCCGTGGTTATAGGTCCGGCACCGGACTTCTTGCTTCACGGCTAAAGGTCTGACAATGCTTTTAAAAGCTAACATTAAACCATTAAACCACTAAACCCAACTCTAACCCTGAAAACTAACCCTAACCTAACCCCCTAATCGGGTAAAAAAGGGTAAAAACTTGTAAAAACCTAAAAGGGTTTGTAAAAAAAAGTATAAAAAATTAATAAAATATAGGCGCGAGCAGGGATTTGATCCGCGAGCTAGTGCATACAACACAAGCGCCTAAACCACAACACTATGGAGGATTTGCTTGAAATTCAATTAAATTTACACGCTTTTATTTTTAACAAGTTTAATGATTATGGAAATGTCGGACCTATAACCACTTCCTAAATCATTAGCTAGAGCTGTAATTCTTTACCTGGATGTAACCAGAAGCTTTAAGTTGCTCCAGCAGTTCAGAATATGGAACGTTCACATTAAACGTTGCAGCAACCCCAAGATCACTCCTCAATCTTTTCACAAATGCCAGAGCCTTGATGCTTCTTTCTCGTGTCTCTTGAAAGAGTTTCTTAAAGTCACGACATGACTGCAGAACTTTCACCCTACATGAAAAAATACACAATATGTACATTGCATATCTGTTTATTTATACTGGATAGCTCTAAGCTGCTCAAAGCCAGTCCCAAACTGCTTTCCCTGGAGGTTCAATAATAACTGTTCTTATTGCTCTAGTGTCACTAGAAGATGAAATGAGAAAACCAGAGCACCAACTGAAAACTGCAGTGCTTGTAGAAGCATTCTTCTGCCTTATGATCAAGGGTGGGTTGACTACAAAATTTTTGTAGTTCACTATAAATACAGCTACTTCAAAAATATGTAGTCAGCTACAACTACTGCTACTTTTGAACAAAGGTAGTTCGCTACTGACTATAGCTACTGCTTAAAAAATGTAGCGAACTATTTCGCTACGCCTATGCTATATTTTTTAGTTTTACTGTATTTGGAGCATCTATACTAACTCAGACTGTAATGTAACCTATAACAAATAGACTTACGAGTAGCAACAGTAAACACAAAGCAACATTTTTGTAATCACTACATACAGTGTTCAGGAGTGCAAATTGACTATTGAGTATCGATTTTAAGCAAACCGTATCTCAATATCATGCTATTCTATCAAGTTGTTAACAATTTTTAAAAGTAGCGAATAGCGATTTGCTGTTTGAAAAGTAGTCAACTACTTGGCTACTTTTAGGCAAAATGTAGTTCGCTATAACTACAGCTACTGTTTTAAAAATGTAGTCAAAAACTACTGGCTACTTGAAAATTGTAGTTGCTACAGTAGCGAACTACAACTACTTCGCTACTACCCACTCTTGCTTATGATCTATCACATGAAAATGCTGCGGATAAGAAATTGCAGAATCTTGCACAAGCGATCATTTGTTGCAACTAACCAGTGCTTTTCATTGTCGTCCAAATCATGCAAGCCAGAAAAATACTCGTCCATTCCTGTTGAAAGAAAATCAGCTGTCGACTCCACAAGACCACGTGCCATCACGCTATAAAGAAATACAAGACACACTTCTTAACCAGAGCTGCTGACTCCAAAATTAATTATGGCTAAATTATGTGTATGTGACATCCATGCAAAGTGCAAGACTGTCATCTGGTGTTAAACAGAGTAAATTAATAAAGTAGGGCACTCTAATGACTTTATTATGACTCCAAAACTATTCTTACGACTTACCAAAATCTCTTGCCAGCCTGCACCTCTCCTCCTCGGATGTAAGGAGTTATTTCTCTGACAAATTCCCACTCTTCCTCAAGAATATTTTTCACACCACACGACGCTTCAGACAGGCGTTGTAATATATGCATGTACTGATGAAGATACTCAAAATAAACCTGCAAAAACAAGTATTTATCACATGGGGGAATTTTTTTTTAAATTTTAACTTTGAAACCTTACCTCCAACATCTTCTGAATGTCCTGGTCAAATTCTAAAACTCGTTCTTCAAACTGAGGACAGCTGCTCAAATCTTTTCCAAGACCTTCCAAGGCATCCAGGAAATACTGTCGTACCACAACAGCAGCCAATAATACCTCTTTACACTCCTCTAATAACTAAAGCACAATACAACTGAATCAATGGGAAGTGTATATAAGATGAAAACACAGCCCAACTCTCACAATACCTGACGAACACTGAGCGATGAAGGTTCTCCTTTTGGACGATGTTCCATTCTCATGCGTAGACACTCGTGATAGATATCCATGACCAAGAGAACGAGAAAGACATACAAGCTATCGAATGATGGCAATCCCATTTTCTCAAACCTTTCAATCCAATTCTCTATTGGCACTCCATACGTCTGGTTGTAGGTCTCTTTATCTTCCGGATCATACATGAAACTTTCAATTTTCTTTATGAGCATCTTCTTGTACAACAAGTGCAATCTCTGGTGTTTCAGAAACACATTTGTAGTTTTGTCAACTTGTAAGATGAACGATGCACGGGTTAGCTCCATGTGAATAAGTTGGTGTAGTTTATACCCAAGATTGGCCACACCCATTTTCTTTATGGTTTGATCAACAAAAGGTCGGTATCTACTTGTGCTTGTGTTCTCAGAACTTAAACCTCGCTTGAGAGATTCACAACTTTCTAGCATTTCAAAATCACAGTGAGAGCTGAGATCTTGGCAATTTCGGCAACTGTTGTACGTCTTCAAACAGTTGAGATCTACATAAAAAATATCAATGACCATTTGCATGAAAACAAATTATCTACACATATCACTTTTAAAAAGCATCACAATTTCCATGCAATTTTGCACACCTAATTGTCTGTGTGAATTCTAATACTGTGCAAATGCAGGCATTACATCATTAATTATATGCATTTGTTGAATTATTTGTTATTATATGTTTGTGAAGTTGTCTCTGAGTGTGTCCACACCGGGCAAGCTGAACCATTGCTTGATCGCAGTGGAAATCGAACCCGTGACCTTTGGTTTGTTTATTTTTATTTATTTATATAACTTCGCCATTTATATATACCATACAGTACAATACAAAAAAAAACAAAAACGATACAATCTAACACAAGACAGTACAGTATATATATATATAGTTCAGTACAGTACAATACATACAGTCAGATGGCTGGGACACCACAACAGTTAAAACCAATTACTGTGGGCCCTTTTAATATATAATAACTAGAAACAACAATTTATAACACTGTTCAAACTACGTTTGCTAGTCCAATGCTCTACCAACTGAGCTATGAAGTCAAGTCGGTTTGAGTGGGTGATATTTCGGAACTGATTTGATCTTGTAGCTCAGTTGGTAGAGCATCAGACTAGCAAAGGTTATGGGTTCAGCGTGTTCGGCGTGGACACACTCAGAAACAACTTCACAAACATATAGCTTCACCTGAGTGCATGAAGCTTGTTTTCCACTAGGCAAAATTGTTCGCGTAAACAGTAAAACAGTTTTTTCGCTGACCAATCACATTACCAAGATTTGTTTTTGTGCTTCGCGTGAACAAATTCGCCTAGTGGGAAATGGGCTTAACACCAGAAATAAAAAAATTACAAACAAAGGTAACTCACTTATGCCAAGATCAATCCAATCTTTCCAGACCTTCTCATCATCAAAATCAACATGAACAAGCCACGACATGACGTGTAACTTATGATACAACCCTTTGATCTGATTCAACCATAGCACCAAGGTATCACAGCTAGCCTGAAACTCTTTTGAAGTATACTTCTCAAAATCCTTGCTGAGTGCGCCTCGGGATGGATAAAGCTGTTCGACTGAGTACAACTTATCTAGTGTTGATGACACTTGTTTAACGGCCGTCTTGATCGTTTGCGCAAAATCCGACAACTTATACGTATCCTCGTCAGTGCTGATGGTTCCACTCAAATCAGAACTTGTACTCAATTTTGGCTCTGTATAGTAAGCTAAATCATTTGTCTCGCTGTCTACTGAAGGGCTACGCTCAACAAAGGAGTAAATTGGATGAAGCACACAGCACCCTTCATCGTCATCATCTTCTGAGTCAGTTTCCGAATCAGAGAACAAAACATCAAAGTTCACTTGTTGTGTCTTATCAACATTAAAATAAATAACATTATCCAAAATGGTATTTATTTTCCTACGTTCATTCATAAGCCATTCATCTTGGTTAAGCATGGTTGTCGAGCTTCTCCATGCTTGTAATTCCAGCCACAATGCTTCCCTTAACTCTTCAATTTCATAATTTTCCGTTTCTTCCACACTATTCTCTTTGCCTTCAGTATTTCCACCTAGGTTCACCAACATGTTCATGGTTTCATAAAACTTCACTCTTTCCAAAGGGCAGACAGCAGCTTTATTCTCTTTAAAATGCACGCTGTTTACAACATTCAATGCAGGCTCACGGTATCTGATAGACTGAAATTTTCTCTGGCTAGGTTTTCGAGATAGAGAGCTTTCTGTAAGGCTGCGGTTTCTTGGTTTAAACGGCGTTTCCTCGCCACCGTTAACCAAAATAACAGACGACTCCTCTTCTTTCATAGACCGATTAAAAGCCCTCTCGCTTGAGGTGGCTGAAGCACTTTGCCGCCTTCTCCACGAAGTAGAAGGAGAACTTCGGAACTCTGAACCCGGCTTATCCTTCTTTCTTCGAGTACTTCTTGTCCTTTCCTTGCTAGGTTTTGTGAAAGTCCTAGAACTTGGTGGGGTTCGACCGTATTGCTCGCTTAGTTCAAATTCTCTTGGCACATTTTCTTCAACGTCTGATAAGCTATTGTCACTTTTCTCTGAACTTTCAGATGTTTGGTTTCTTGGAGAGGTTAAGTGGTTGAATACTGGCGAGAAATTATTCTCGTCAAGAGGCGAGGAAGACAAGAGGTCAGCGTTATTAACTTCACCTCCGCTAGACGCCATTTTGCGTTTTAAGTCTTGTCCGCGTCTCCGCGAGGCGAGAGGACTAAGTCGATTATAAGAGATAAGAAACACATTTAAAAAAAAAACACATTTTAAGGCCTATTTTAATACTTTTACATTCATTTTAACCAAAGCATAATATTATATTCGAAACGAGCATGTTTTGTTTAATTAAGTCACGCAAATTCGTTAAATAGAACGCAATGAATCAGCCAAAAAATGGGAAACACTTGTCCACTTCTCAAAATAACATCTGGGTATTTGCAGAAACCTCATTATCATATAAATTACAACTTTTTTACAAGTAATTATCTCTTACTTATATTGGATAATAACACTGATAATATTAGGTTCTCTATGCCCCTGTATATAATTATTGCACGCAAGGCAAAAACCCCCAGCTTTTTGCGGTTTGGTTTTATGTTGAAAACTGTGCTTTTTTATATATCTCCTTGAAGGTTGTGTAAAAGTTCTCTTTAGTCTTTAGTATCCGAATCTAGTGATACTGTAATAGCGATTTTGCATGTCAGTAGGACTGAAACTCTGGAAGGGTCCTTGAAATGATTATAGTGTGCTTTACAGACTGCATCTAGTCCCCCGGTGTGCATAAAAACAGGGGCGTAGAAGAGGAGGGGTCTTGCTAAAACTTCATGTCGATTGATAATGATTTCACCTGGCCCAATATTTTTGCAGATCGCATAATCATAACCTGGTCTTACCTGGATGGTTCTTTGCAACTGTAGGGTTGACGTGATGCGGTAATGAACTAATGATTTAGTAACCGTTTCTTGATCACCATTAGATTATCATTAGCTCATTTATGTAACACAAAATAGCTGCATCAGTATATTATCGGAAACTTTTTTTCAAGTCAAGTCCTTTCTTCAAAAAACACTAATTGAAGAATTGCTAAAAGAAAAATACTGGAACTTTCCATTTTCATCATATTGCACCCTCCATGCCTTGCCAACCCACCCACCCACGCCTTGCCACCCCCAAGTTCATACCACTGATTACAGACATCAAGCATAACTAAATCGTAACGTCATTCCTGTGCAGAGCCACAGGAAAACATATCAATATCACATGAAGCGCTGTGCATTAAATAGTGCAATGTGATCATTGGTGTGTTTTGGTGAAATTCAGAAATTTTCTATTATGAAACTATTTACAGACCACCATATTTACATACATTAAAAATGTTGCACCAGTATATCTCCGTGCTTTATAAATTACAAACTAAACCAAATTCCCAGTAATTCCCGGTGTTCTTGGTGCAGAGTTTGTGCTCAGTCCATGTGACCTGGGTGTGTTTACATGAGCTTACATCACGGAGAAGCAGATGTTGGTCAACTTGGAAAATGTTGACAATGACACGAGCAAGAAAAAATTTTTATTTGCCACCAAATACAAGAATAGTATATTTAATAAACGAAATATCATTATTTTCTGAGAACTGCAGATTGAGCACCATCTGCTGCACGATATTCTTGGTCAAATCTTTTTTATGTAGTTCTCATGTAAACACCCTCAAGTAATAATAATTAACCATGGCTTCACCATCACTGTATACTCGGAACTTCCCACCTCGGAAATAATCGAGAACCTTCGGAAAGCTGTCGTCGATATTTCGTATCCCTGCCAAAACCTTGTGTACCGAGTTGTACCGAGAGCCTTTTTATTGCACATACGATGATTGAGTCGAAGGATCTGCTATCACTTGGCTTCCATGGTAACCATAATTCATGGTGACGTTAGCAGGGACCGCGTTAGCCTGGAACCTAGGCTGGTTATGTTGGGGTGGGTAAGAGCATGTTGTATAATGAGGCGAATACTGAGCGCCTGGGACGTGCGCATGCGCCAACGTTGGGTAACCGCTGTATGCATTACTGAATCCATTATAGGCGGAAGGAGGGTAGTTAGAGGTAGGGTATACCATCGAGGCCGAGGGGTAGGAAACTGGGGTTGAATTCGTTGTAGGTGGGGGAGCTGTTGTGAAGCTCGTGTTGAATGTTGGGAGTTCATGTTGCTCTTCTACTCCTAAAGCATGATGGGAGAAATTTATTATTCAATAATATAACGAAAGTAGGCTACTAGTTATAGTTCCTGGTCCAACTAATTTTGTGTTGTGTGGTAGGGTATGGTATGATACGGTATGGTATTGTAGGTGTTATATGGTATGGTATGGTATACAGCATGGTGTCACTAACCTGCTCTCATGTCTTGTGAGAATGCGATATCATTGCCATTATAATCAGGGTAAGGTACAGGTCTGATTGGAGGACGCCAACATGAATACGCTTGCATTAACTCGTCCATTGCATCCCTGTATTGAATACAACAATATAGAGATGGGAAAAGTCTCAACAACGCTTTAAAAATGTTAAAACAGTTGAAGCCCTTTCCACAAATGTCGTAACAGTGACTGGATGGCGTGTGGAGAACAGTGGGAATTTCAAAACAATGAAAAGACAATGAAACATTCCGATCACTGATCACTATGCCATTTATAATTATCCAGATAAGTATAAATGTCATAAAAAGTGTTAAGCAGAGGCAGTGCCTATTAATCAAACACAATTCATGGTGTCTATGAAACAGGATTTATAGTATCTCTTTATAAAACTCTTGTCCCTGTAAAAGGTCAAATATTTTTCTCTGATTTAACATGAAAAAGAATTTTCCAAACGAGCAAATTGTTAGTCGTACTGTTAGGGAATGATTTGCTTTGTTTGCAATTCGTAAATAATTACCAAGTTTACAAGCAAACTATCTCGTTGGCAGATGTTTTTTGCCACGTTTTGTTTATTTACGAAGCAGGGTTAGTTTCCGAGCGCTGAAGATAAAACATAATCCAGTTACCGCAAAAGAAGGTCACAGATTATTTAGATAACCTTGAAGGATACCGAAAATTACAAAATTAATTTTATAACCGTAGTTCAAGAGTGGTATTTGTTGTTTTTCTATCTCATAAAGATGGAACAACATTTCACAGTGAATATAAATACTTGTGTTAAACGACAAGAGTGTGCTAAAAAATACCAACAAAGTATATGTAAAACAACCGACATAAGTTCTTAATTAGATAGATACTAGAGTGTTCAAGGCATGTGCATTAAAATTATCTCAAAATTATGGACTTAAATCTGGAACAATCAAGTGTAATCAAGCGTAAATGAAATTAAGAAATTAATTTTGGTGTTTTAGAGATAATGCTTGCTAAAACCATATGCATATCAATGTTCAAAAAATCTGCTGCCGGGATTCTATATTTATGTTATTTTTTCTAGCGGTGGTGCTTTAACAACAGAAACTGTGTAGGCGCGAGATGTTTAGATATATGATCTTAATTAGCATAAACCACGGTGCACTAATATTTATGTATGATGTCATCCATGTTTACTATTTGTGCGATATCAGTCTTGAAAGATATTTCATCTTGGAGTTGTGTTTTACCGTATTCTTCCTGAATCCCGAAATCCTTTTGCAAAGGGATTGCGATCAATCTTCAGACGAGTTATCTGTAAAAAAATATCCGCAATGAGTTAAAATGCTGGGGAAAGGTGGCCTATTCGTAGTGCCGTGTAACCCTTGCATTTATTTCGCCTGGCAGAAGTGTGGTGTTGTTTTTTGATATAGGTTAAAACACTCTCACATTGTATTTCTGTGTGAACTACCCGCAAGAGATTCATAAAAACTCTGCTTAACATTGTGTACCAACACACCACTGATACAATCAAAGGTCTTCGCTCGAACCTTTCAAAGTGTTTTCAATATTTTTCAGATAGCTCATACACAAACTACGACAGTTTATTATGGACCGCGGTCAGAGACCACCTCAAATAAAAATTCTTCACATGATTAAATGGCACTACATTTTTGCGCAAAAGCCTTAACGACAGGGGGCTATTTGAAGTTTGTTCTAAAATTTTAAAAGCTCCACTCACACGGTCGTGTCATGCATTTAACACCTATTTTTGAGATGCCAAGTTTCTTATTCGTCTTTCATCGTGTGGAATGAGGACAACGGTGCGTACAGATTTGGCAATATATATTGAAAGCATGTCGGCAAGTTTCAACCTTTATTGATTTTTATCGATAAACTGAGATCACGCTCGCCATTTGGTAGTCATTAAGCCAATTTTCTTATCAGAATATTTCAGTCTGGGTTTGGCCTCACAGCTATGGCAGCGAATGCTCGAGATAGCTCAATTTTCAAATGCTTTTATCGTGCGCAGAGTTCAAAGTGTGCTTTCCTGAAATTTCAAGATAAATCCTTGTTGTATACACTTGAAGGGATTCACACGCGCAAATTAAATCGTTATATTAATTTCCTTGGTATGGCTCTGAAATAGACAGCACCATCACAAAACCACTGAATAGTAATAAACTAAATACCTTGTGCATGCGCTTTTTCTCAACTCTCGAGGTAAATTGTAAAATGTACAGCTCAAAAGTACCAATGTATAATTACTCAAATGCACAATACGTAAACTTCAAGATAAATTCTCTCTCTCAATTGATCAACCATTACCAAATCCGTAGTTTAAAGCAATAAACGCTGGGTGAAAATTTATTTTCGGTTTTCAGTACAGATAAACATCTTTACGTTATTTTTTCACGATGAGCTTGAAATATAATGGAAACAATGATTACCATCATATAAACCCAAATTACATTGTGCGAATACGTTGCGCATTGATTATAACCGAGCGTTTCCCTAAATTACTCAAAATCATAGACGCTCCGTAAATATCAAAATCCCCATGATACATCTCAGTGAATAAGTGAATTCGTTGTTCAAGTCTCGAATCAATGAAAACAATCTAACTTTAGCAGTAATTTAGTAATACACTTCTTTGCAAGAAGCATTTTCCGTGTGAGATAGTGTGATCCGGCTGTGCGATTATCTTAGATAAATGAGACCGGGCCAACTGAAAAAAATTCCAGAAAGTTCGAGTAAAAGCATTGTTTACGTTAGTTTATCTTGCCATTGATAACATGGATTGCGAAAGGATGTCGGAGAGTTTGTTTTGATTTCTCATCTTAACATGTTCCGCGATTACGCTGATATATTTTGACATTCTTAAAAATGTTGAAACAATTTGGAAATCGTCGGAAACTTAACGTGCCTTCAAAATAAACAGCCACTTGAAACTGTCATGAAATATACAAGGTGTGGAAATATGAGAAAGGACATTTTTTGATTTTTTAAAACTAATATACTCCAGTACGGTCATCTAGGAATCACCCTTTTCACCATTCACGGACTTATGTGGGTGGGTTTTACCCAGTGAGCTTTATATATCTGCAGGAGCTAGAAGTTTACTCATTCGGCCTATAAGAAAAGTGAAGCCAAAAATGGCGGGATTGACGTCCAATATACGGCTATAAAGGTTGTAAATAGTTTTAATTCCCAAGCTAATTCGATCCAGTTTTATTCAACGGATCGTATCGCTATAAATGAAGTTATCATTTCATAAAACAATGGTATTATTCTTTAAATCGAATCATAAACTCATTAATAATTCATGAGGAAAATCATAAGCGTGTCAAAGCGTGTCGTATCTTTATTTGTGATAGAGATTTTCCTTCATTTACATAAACTTTAACTTTGATTTTCTCGACTTACACAACGTATTTTTGAAAATTACTTCGCCAATGAACTTACTAGATCGATCGTTTCTGAAGCAATTTAAAACATTCGCAGTGCGTGTTTTATCAGACCTAAAGATACTCGGCTTCGCCTCGTATCTTTATATCTGATAAGACACTACTACTCATGTTTTAAATACTACATAAGAAGGAGAGACGTTTAATATGCTTGATCCTACAACACTTAACACCCTTTATAAGTTCACTGGACAGGCTGATCCACCTACCCTGAACCCCACGTTAAAGTCCACCCCCTGCCCTACCTGTTGGTTCTGATAAGCAGTCACAGTGATAAACTCCGTCTCATGGAAGACGAATGTTTTCGATTCTGCATTCGAGGTATCTTGCTCCAGATCATGGACCTGATCAGGCTTGCCAGAAGTTGAATCTTTCTTCTTAATAATGTGTATCCGGGGCTGATACTTGTGCATGGAGTGAAGAATGATCTTAAAAAGATACAATGGATATTATAAGCTGGCGTTTTTTTGCTCGGAACTACATTTTCAAAAGTCACCACTTTTCAAAGTGGTGACTGGGTGAATTCTGACGAAGCTACAGCGTTCGTTTGAACCATCGCGACGTTTTGCGTGCGTTCATCTTTTTCAGGTAGTTCAGACACAAACCACGGCAGTTTATTGTAGAATACTACCTACACTGGACCACCACGTTTGAGATATCTTCTTCACGTAGTTCAGACACAAACCACAACAGCTTATTGTAGAATACTTCCTACACTGGACCACCACGTTTGAGATATCTTTTTCAGGTAGTTCAGACACAAACCACAACAGCTTATTGTAGAATACTACCTACACTGGACCACCACGTTTGAGATATCTTTTTTCAGGTAGTTCAGACACAAACCACAACAGTTTATTGTAGAATACTACCTACACTGGACCACCACGTTTGAGATATCTTTTTTCAGGTAGTTCAGACACAAACCACAACAGTTTATGATGGAATACTACCTTTGACTAGATATTGCATACACACATGACGTCCTTTGCTATAGACTATATATTTTATCAGTAAGAGAGAGAGTGTTGAAAAATTATATATTTATGTGAATATATTGCTATCGGAAATGATATCTTTGTAAATCCCACTTGGTCAATAATCACAAAATTTCAACAATCTGTCGCTTCTCTTTTCACTCTGCGCATTTAACGATGCTCTCCAAACCTCTCTTTGTCCGGGTCAATATTTTTAAAAGGTCTGTGTTTATCCTCTCATATCGTATCAACAAAGATAATATTTCTTGTAACTTATATCCTTGATGAGAGATGGAGTGAGTGCGTCTTCTTCCATCCACAAAATAGAGCTGAACTTCATCATATAATGCATGCGTATTTATCAGTAGTGGTCATTGTACTACAACAGGTCAAAACCTGAAATCGATCGCTTAAAAACAGAGTCCGCAACTTCAGTGGATCAATAATTCCAGCTATACACGAAATTTTGATCTAGACAAGAACCGCGAAATCTATTACCATAGCTGGAAAGAGCATCCTAAAATGAGTAAAATTGCAAAGTTTGGTTGCGAATTGTTGTAAAATGAGGAAAATATATCCCTGTGAAATTCGCAAATTTTGTATATATTTGCATTACGCGCGGGAAAAATAACCATTTTTAAGCCGAAAGTGGTTATTTTTACCGCGCGTAATACAAATATATACAAAATTTGCGAACTTCACAGGGCTATATTTCCTTCATTTTACAACATTCAGCAACCAATCTTTGCAGTTTTACTCATTCTAAGACCACTCTTTCTAGCTGTGGTGTCGGGTTTCGTTCAACCTGCCTTGATCAAAATTTAGTCTTTAGCTGGAACCACCCATTGGTTAAAAACAAAAATCATAAGATATATACAAATTGAAAATATGTGCTTTAAAATGTTTGCAAAAAAATCAGTTTAAAACATGATCTGAAAATTGTTGGAATGTGCCAACATGAGTCCGTTTGAACGGGGCTTATTTCTGATTTTTCAGATTTTATATTTTTTGACATGGACCATGTCCATGATATATATAACTCGTACGACATGCGCAGACATGTCTAGTTTAAGCTATTTAACCCATCCTTAACCTTTCTTTATTTTATAATGCGACACTGCCGTGTTCTCTCTATATAGCCAGTCACATTGCACACCGCATATTCGTTTCATCTATTAAATGATAGAGTTGTGACAGTTGGCCGCAAACAATCAAAATTTGAATAAAAGTCGTGACAGACGGCGAAATTCACCGAGCGGATATCTATAATTATCAGAAAAATTAATAAATGAAATCGCTTATTACGAGTTTTGGCCTTCAGCTATAGTCGTCATACCCATGCAAGCAGAGACAATGTGGAACCTAGTTTGATTTCAAGAAAACTAGCGCGCTTTAGATTCTTATATACATCAGTTTCACTAAGCATTTATACCGTGCCAACAACCAGCCTGTGTTCTTGTCCGCTACACTGTCACTGTTGTATGAGTTCGCAGAGTGAGAAAATTATGTCATTATTTTCATTATATGTGTCGTATACTGCCTTGCATTTTGTGGCCAATAAACGGGAATTAAGGGTAGTCTATCTTTAATATACTTCCTCCTATATACGTATCAACATTTCTGATGATACTTTTTTGTGTGTGTTGGTGTTATGTACTCAGGTAAATATGATGTTTGTGGTGTTACTCTGAGTGTGCATCCACACCGGGCAAGCTGAAAAGTTAGCTTGGCCACGGTGGGAATCGAACCCACGACCTCGATTCCCACTGTAGTCAGGCAAACCTTTCAGCTTACCATGCAGTGTGGATGCACACTCAGAGTAACACCACAAACATCATTTCTCATATTGACCACCAGCTGTAGTTCTGTAATGCTTATATCCTCCAATATACTGGGCCATATATTACTTACATGTCCTTGCTGGTCGAGTTCATTGTTGGTCAGCTTGACTTTGTCAAAAGAGATCACCTGCCTCATCCATTCTTCTCCAGAAGCGGGAGAATCGGGGTGGATGTAAACTCTCCCTGGCATGGGGGCATCCGCGTTTCCCGCAACCATCCATTTGGAACTGTGATACGCATATCTGTATCTTTTATTATCGACGGGAACCACGTCCAAAATTAGAATATATTGCGCGTTCGGGTCCATGCCACTAATCTTGATGCGCATCGCTGGAAACATGCGTCTAGTGAGAAAGAAATAGGAGTTTTAAATTTTGAAATCACGGCTTAACTGCGTAAGGTGTATCAACCCACCGTCCAGCTTTCGTGATAATCATTTCAGTACCAAGCTCATGAAAGCGATGCCAGAGATCTTTCATTTGTAGATCAACTTTGATATCTTCCAGAGAGCGCTCTTCATTCACGGGCATTCTGTTCTGCATAGCCTGCATTGAACCCAGAGCAGAACTCGTAAGGTCTGTTGAATCTAAAATAATACAAATACTCAATCAGTTGTGATTACGTTGCTTACATTTCAGATCCTTCACCCAACTTTTTAACACCTGACAAACAGCACAAGGGTCGGTAATATATACTGTGCTTAGCTCAAATCCGGATATTGCGGAATATACACTTTATATAAGTAGCGTAAATAACAAAGTAGGTATATGACACACAAGCGAGTTGGAAATGTGATATTGTCATGAGAATTGCGTCTTTTGACTGTAGAGATGTAGAATGTGTATTGTGTATGATCACAATATTTACACCAAATATATAGATAGATGGACTAAAGACAGAGTAGATCAATATGATAATGAGCAGTGTATAGATTCATGACTCGGAGATGTATGTGTATGGTGTGTTTATGATATATACATATACAGTATAAACTATAGAGAAAGAGATATAAAAGTGAAAATATATAGTTCTGACATGTAAGTCAGTTATTAAGTATACTATTACAGAATCAGAGGAATACGGAAACATCATTTCTTACACTGGCGAAGTGAAAAAGTTGACTCAAGCTAAACTCACACCGCAGTATATTTATATATAAAATACGAAGTGTTTAGTAACTAGAGTCTATTGTGTTATATCTACGATATCGCGGCTTATCCGGTGCCTACCTGCGTCGGGCGAAGGATATGCATATCTTTGTAAGCTTTCATCGTCACCATCTTGCGCCGAAATAAGCGAGGCAACCGAGAAAGCGTGCGCTTTTGATGAAAGTATAAGGTTCAATTGGCTGTCATCTCTTTTGGCCATTTTTCGCGCTTTTATGTTCTCCCCAAGCGAGTAAATGGTGTACTGAAAGCTCTCGCCTCAAATATGTCATTAAATGTAAGAATGTTCCTTATCACAGGTGGTGATCAATTAAACGCCCTAATTAAATTTTTCCGCTTCGGTGTTTCAGCACCTTGACCAAGATTCTCTTGTAAACACTGGTATCCGATTAAACACCACTGTGGCGACGCCACACAGCTCAGGTTTCATGCGCGCACCGAGGAAAACATGCTCAACAACTATAAGCATGTTTAGAATACACTCCTAGTTTTGCGCACAAATGCGCGCGCGTTGGACTACAATTAGCATTTTGCGCGCAAAGATTACCAACTAATCGATTAATTAAATTATTCGCAAATGTTTTCACAATGAACTTGCCAAGTGCGGTCGAAACATCTCGCCGCGTGCTGACATTTCCTCGAAAATGAAATGTCGAGGGTGAAGAAAATACGTATATTATATTGTCCAACGGCCTATAGGCGCGCTTCAAATGGGCCAAAACAACTTGATAAGGAATATTGTAACAATACGCCTGAGGAAGATCATGACCGGCTTACTGATGAGTTATCATGGATAATTGAGATGGATAGGAATTCAACTACCAGTGACAAATGAAGTTTTACTTTGGTATTTTTCAGGTAGTTAAATCCCTCTCCTTCTCAATTTTCGGGTGTTTTTGGTACTACCTATGTTTGCGGCACAGACCGTTCGAGTTTATATCAAGGGTACACCGCCATGTCTGGAATGAAGGGATGATGATGAGTTCCAGAACTTGCAAAATGAATGGGTGAAGGGCGAGAAAAAGTGGAAGTACCGAAACGTGGAAGAGAATGGTAGATCAGACAGATACTGGACGTACTTGGAGCGGTGCAAAAGTGATGTCTCCAGTGTACAAATTCGTAACTCAATGCTCGACATCGACTCGAAAGAACAAAGACAGACATGTTTTCTTCAGACATTTTCCCCTCGATCCTCGACCTATAATGGTCAGGTGAAACCTCGCGGCGCGTCTCATCACCTGGCTGAGACACCCAAGATGATGAAGCATGAGTATATTTCCTGCTGATAATCTGAAAACAGAACGTGATCATCACCTATGTATCACCAACACAAGGCAGACACATCACTCACAACACAAACTCTATAAAACCAACCAAACCACTTCCCCAAAACTCCCATTTCTTATACCATTTATCTAAAAACCTCAAATCTCACCCAATTTTAATTACTTACAGTCAAGTGTCATATCTTACATATGGTTGCGACAAACAGATGTTAATGCAATAACACCTCACACATTTGTATGAACGATTAGAACCTTCGAAACTCCCGTGTCGATTTTTATAGTTTAAACAGAAAATCAAAGAGGTGAAAAAAGCTTTGGATCAGGTGCTAGTTTTCATCAAAATGAATACGTCCTTCATGGAAATGCTACAATTTCAAGAAAAGTAATAAGCATTCTGTGATTGCTAAGGTGTAATGAGATGTGGTTAGAACTGCTTAGATCATTAGGAATATAATGTTATGCCGGTTTCTTTGATATGCAAGAGTAATAAGCTACTCTGCGATCTGTCTCAACAAGACTGCATAACGTTTGTTGATTTTGATTGTATTTATGTCTAGCTTGAGAGAAATTTAGTATAACGACATAATCAGCTGGGGATACTTCGAAACTTGATTAGCATATACCGCACGTTTGTTTGAGCTACCTACCCAAAGTTCTGTAACAAGGGAAGCACCTTACTGATTCTTTGGGAGAACAGTTTTGAATTGATCGAGATTTCCACTGCATAAATTTAGTTTAGTTTAACTTTCCTAATAAGGCTTGGACCTTACTGGACCTCTAGGACTAGGGAGATCTGGCAGAGTTATCCAGCACAAAGTTAGTTTAGGTTTTGGTGGTGAGACTTATACAGTTAGTAGAGCTAATGACAGTAATGTTCTGATCATTATGTATCTTAAAAACTGGCGATACTTTTGTATGTATACAACATTTACATATACAGATAATTGTACCCATTCTGGGTATTTCGGCAAGATTCTTTTGAACATTTGTCGACACATGGGACATTTGCGCCGCAAAGTGACCTGTTCTGAAGTCCTGGAATCTCAGTAGCCTATAAACTATGATTACCCAAAACACTTACATCATTTAGAGATGTTGAGTATTCTGTTGACAAGATATTGCAAAACTTTCTGAGTGCTGTTGACATGAACATTAAGTCTGAAGAGTACACTAAAAACTGAAGGCTGCTAACATTCGTGTTAACGTTTGTCTCATAATTTCTTCACGTGAACTTACATCGCTCGTGCGGGGTCAGGGCGGCTTGCAACTTCTCGTGAAATGTGCGCAAAAAGCTACATGCCTATATATATTTGTTAGAAATCTCATGAGTCATATGTTCTGCAAATCAGTCAGCACAACATTTGACCAATAAACAACTTCTCACGGAAACGGAATGAGAAATATAGCAATACCGTCTTGTCGGTAACTTTTTATCATTGTAGCACATAGAACGAAACCTAAAACATTTGTGACCAATTTCAAATTTAGAGTCAAGGAATTCTTCTTTGAAAAAAACGCCTGGATCAGATGCGGTGAACATTAATACTCGTCTATTTTTAACCATCTCTGTGGTAAGAATGACATTTTCTCGCTAACATAACATCTTGGAAAACTATTTATCGCCTACAACTGTTGATGGGCAAACATTCACAGCTTAAGCAAACACAAGGCAAATGAGAAAACTTTCGGCGTCCTTACTGAGAGACGCAAAGCAAACATAACGCAGACCGACAGATTCTTTCCGAATATACAAGTATTCATATTTACATGATGGGTTTCCTGCACCGTGCTTTCAAATCAAAATGTTCCCATTTGTTCTCCATTTTTAGACGTAATATCAAAAACGAATGTGATTTACATATTTTGCGCAAACTTGCGTCACGGCCAAATTTGCGCGTTCGCTATAAACTAAGTGAATAAATTACGACCTCCATTATGAAGCATGTCGTCGTAATTACTCAATTGTTCAAATGAGCTGAATTTATTGGGCACTTCTTTGGTGGGCTTTTGCATAATGTGCGCGCCTCGCTAAAACTGCGTCCCGCATTGCGCGCTTGCTGCGTCCTAAACCTGCTTATGTTAAACTGTCTGTTTCGCGACGGGAACTGCGCGAACATAATCACACCACGTCGAGCGCAAAGCTTAAACATTAGGTTTTAAATTTCTTACCGTATATTTGATGATCCATAGGGACTCTTTGTAGTGATCTATGTTCCTTCTTGAGTGGTTTTCAACCAAATGTCAGTTGCTATTAACAACCGTGGAGTAACAGATAATCTTGAACTCTGCTGGCACGCACCTCAAAGCAAATCTGACAGCTGAGCGTAAACAATAGCAGGTACTTTATTAAGTGCAAACTCAAAATGATTGCGAGCTGCGCCAGGCGAGTGCTTAAATTGCAAAACGACGCTCGGCTGTTACGAGACATACGCACGATACCATCAGTTAGGAATGCTTAGAAGCAAGCGGTAGATAGGAATATCAGGCCCGCAGTCGACCATGTAAATTAAATTTCACAAAGATTATCTTGACCACAAGATCAGTGTTGGAAGCAGTCTGACGGCTCAATGTGTCACGTCAAAATATCTTCAGATTATTACTTTTTCTTTAAAATACCTTCTAATTATTTCAATTCCATAAACAATTTAGCATGCTTCAAATCTTGTAACAGTCTATTCCGTCATTTATTATCCAAATGTAAGAAAGAAATCATAAGTTTTGACAAGTAAAAATCAAAAGTCAAAGCTACCAATTTAATATGAAAAGGAGGATGAACGTTTACTGTATCGGTTTTATCCGATGTTATGTTGATCAGAATTTGTAAGAAACCGTGTTATTCTTTTAATTGGTCCTTGTCGGCATCAGAAGGTTTTATGAAAAAGGATATCATGCATTGAAATCTATACTAGTATATCAGTATATGTCCTTTGACTTTTAAGTGAATTTCAATTTCACTTAAAACTACATGCATGTATACATGCATAATTCATTTCTTCAAAAATGTAGTTATAGTTGTTCAATTAATGGAGAGTTGTTCGCTAATTTACACTATTGCCTGCTCCCAGACTGGATTTGTTCGTGTTGTGCGAGCAGGTTAATTACACTAACATACTGGAAAAAGTAAGCCAGCTTAATCCAAGTACACCCAGTTTGTACTGATTTTATTGCATTGTGTTTTTGAAGAAACCAGGTTGAGAATTTTCATGCTGGGTTGTCTACTGAGTCCAAGCTGTAGTGTTCTGGATTCTGACATGGTTTAGACACTTACTTTATCGGATTAACGCGAAGTGTTGCATGCAGCGTGTTGTTTTTGTATTAATTTTTTTCTCTTTGGTCTTTTGCGGCAAACTTTATGTTGCGAAATGCAAGGATTAGCCAGCGTGCGAAAAACCCAGGCTCCAATGGCACGCAGCAATAATGCGCGCACACTGCTATGTAAGGTAGCGCAGTGCGTCTATCGCGAACGCAGATCGAAATTGCTGACAGTAATTTTGATGAGAAAAACAGCATAACCTCTGCTTCGTGTTTAAAGTAATACTTGTGATAAAATGTCAGTGATATCATCTTAATTGGTCCTATATCTGTTTACTGATTTAGCTGAATCGCGCAAGTGAATTACTGCGCAAAACACAATTTATCATTTTTTGCGTCAATCGCGAACTTCCGTGTTTAAAGTGCCTACTTCATAAATGAAGTGCTTTCGTTTATGCGAACGGAAATATTTTCAAAACGTAATAGCGATTATTAAAAACCTATATAAAATCTTGTTAATTACTTGTAATCTAAACAGCGCAAGCTGCATGCACTGTTTCTATAGGCTGAAAACAGTCGACACATGCCAAAAACATAATTTATGATATAGGCCTATACGCAACTTAAAACTGATTACAGGTCTTTGCGTAATAGCGTTGCCACCAAATAACGAAACGCATAAAATTGATACAGATTTCTGCATTTGGAAAACGTGTAATTACTAACCTAAAATAATCATGTTTTGTGATTGACTTGCGCAAACAAAAATGATCAGTGTCACTAGTGTTTACGAGACACTATTTAGAAAATTTGTTGTTTAGTTTTATTGTGTTCCCTTGTTATAGTCAAGCTATCATAAAACCTGTTTGCGATCCAACTTAAAAATTACTTTATCTTAAAATTATGCAGGTTAAAATCTTTTTACTTTTTCAGCTACATTTCGCCGGCATTATATACATCGCTGTAATAGCGGATTGGTTGCAGCTAAGTTACATATTTATGCAAGACTTTCGATAATATTGTGCATGGCAAGATTTTACGAATTACATACTGACGAAGTTTATGAATTATGTGATATATCCAGGCTATATAATGTTTAGTTACCTGGTTTTTACGTTATATCTTCTTGCCAAAATATTTCAGTAAAAAACTTCAGTAAAAAGCTAGGAAAGAAAGTACTAGTTTTTTTGTGCAAATTGTGCTCCTAAAATATTTCTTTAAGAACTATGGTTGTTGTTGTCATCCGGCTCACTTCATCTTCATTTATTCGTGTTTTATTCTGTTGTTTCGTATCCGTTTCTTCCAAATTGTGCTCCAGCATCGTGCACTCTCGCATGGAGGTCGCCGTCGATACTTTCGTAGACTGGGAACGGGTTTGCCTCGTAATGATTCATGGTGCTTTGTCTACTAGTACTAGGCCCGCCTCTCTTCCAGTCCCCATCGGCACAGTAGCCTGGGTTGGCAAAGGCTGGGTCGAGACACACCTGCACGTAGAGATAATTATATTATCGATTACTGATCGATTCATTCATCGAAGAACTTATCGAACTTTCGATAATTTATTGAAAGCCGAACAAACAGAGGATATATATAGTAGATTATAGATTAGATTTCTGAAGTTGACCCATCTACAACCTGGTTTAATTAATGAAACGTTCAAATTTTATGAATGTTTTGCCTACCTTCTGTTTCTCCAACACAAAAGGATTTGACGGTCCACTGTGAGAATAATAACTCTGATCTCTGTCTTGAAATGGTATCTCATACATCGAGTTCGAGTCAAGCGCGACCGTGTTATCATGGTGATTAAAACGCACAGGTGCACTGTTGTTGTCTCTCTAACAAATCAATCAAATACTTTTATACCTAGACCGTGAGTTGGGAGTGGGCACTGACCTCCATATATATCTGGAGTAAGAACTTCAGTTATTCGGTCAATGAGAAAAGTGAAGCCAAGATGGCGCCATTGACATCCAATAGCTCTGAAGGTCGCAAACAGTTTTTATACCATTTTTCCACAGCTAATTTCAGTTTTTTCTAACGGATCGTCGCTAATCAAGTCAATCTCGTTCCCCGATTCTGCGATCCTCGGGAAGGAACGTGAGGCTCTGGGATAATAATCCGTTTCAGGGAGGAATCTGATTGGCCGTTGATATGGAATGCGCAGTCTTAGCCAGGATTCCTGGCTTCCGGTAACGCGAATTATCCCAGAGCCTCACGTTCCTTCCCGAGGATCGCAGGCTCGGGGAACGAGATTGAGTCATCAGTTCATAAAACCATAGTGTTATTCTTTAAATCGATGTCAAAATACGAAATTTCGGCACACTCCTGGCCAACATGGCGAAAATTGAAGGAGTATTGGACGTCGGTTCCAGTCTCTTTCTATTGTTTTTGTCTGCGCGGTTAACACGAAGCTGGCTTCACTTTTCGGATCGAGTTCTCACTCCAGATATATATTGAGCTCATCGGGTGTGGGTTCTTTCTACGCTGATGTTCAAGTGTACCGTGTTTAATAATGGCGGAAGGAAAATTGGGAAGTATTCTTGTCGAAACATTCCCTGGGAAACAGTGCTTCCTGGCTTGTCCACATTTGGGAAGCATGGCTAGGAAACAATGTTGCCTGCTCTGCCCACCTTTGGGAAATATTTGCTTCGAAACTGCAGTGCTTCCTGGTTTGCCCACTTCTAGGGAATATTTGCTGGGAAACAACGTTTCCTGGTTAACCCACTTCTGGAAAATATGACTTGAAAACAACGTTTTACTGGTTAATGGTTATTGCTTCCTGCTTTGCCGGCCACCTTTGGGAAACATGACCGGGAAACATTTATTCTGCTACGTTTGTTTTAGTTTTTTCAGATCTTAACACAAACTAAGCACACACCTTCTTCTTTGCTTTCCTTCTTTTTCTTCTAATTACAACCACCGTGACAATAAAAGCAACAAGTAATAATCCAGCAATGGTATAGACAATCCAGAGTGGAAACCCTCTTTCACCAGGATCATCTCTGGCTGGTGCGATGTTAGGATCATCACCGTTGCCTGGCGAGGTGTTAGGATCATCACCGTTGCCTGGTGAGGTGTTAGTATCATCAGCTAAACATTTCACTTCAGTATTTTTCAACAACTTGCAGGCCGCTGAAGCAGGAATGAGATCATAGCTGGGTTTCTCAGCCACAGCAAAGACTACGTTGGTTGAAGTCCCTTGACCAACGTGCACAAGTTGTTCTACATAGACATCGCTGTATTCCACCTCACGTCGTCTTCTGGAAGCATCGTTTTGATCTAAAATAGTAAACAAAAATCTAAGTAATGAGCTTACTGTAATGAGGACCATGCATCTACGGATCTACCGTCCCGTAGTATTACAGTACAGAAACCAACAAATCACTTTTTAGAAGTGTTTTTCTTTCACTTACTATTAAAATCTTGCACAAGTTGTGCCAGGGTCTTTCCTTCTGAAGTTCCTTCAATCAAGCTCGTCACATAGTCTTCAAACATGGATACAAAGTCATGTTTTTCAAAGGTGGAAACAGGGATTGCAACTGTTGAATTGATACGATAATCTTCTCCTACACACCTAGTGGAAAATATCATGATCATATGACGATATATGTAATACAAAACATAATGTACCGAACATGACTATAAAATGAGATGTAGGGAATTATCTTGCACTCGTGAATCCTCCAGACCACAGTGGCCATAGTTAAGGAAACTGTGACAGGACCAGTACTGGTAGCGCACCTCAGCACCTGAGGTAAAATCTGCGCATGCACCATCCTCGGCCAATAAATTTGAGTAAACTTGGAGACATGCATTAGTGTGGAAACTGAACTTGCTTTCCAAAAATATTCCCCAATAAATTCCCACATATTTTTTGTCGTGTTGACAAAATAACGTTTCTTGCTTTACACCTTCAGGAAGCATGACTAACACCTGTATTCTAAAAGCTCATTCACACTCAAAGAGTGGAGGTTCAATCTGAGCTTCCCTTGAGTGTCAATGCTGTTTTTGAATAGCTGGAGGGTGAGTAGTCACATATAGTAAGGTACGGCACAATAAACCCTCCAGCTATTCAAAAACAGCATTGACACTCAAGGGAAGCCTAGATTGAACCTCCACTCATTGAGTGTATAAGTGAGCTTTTAGAATACGGGCGTAAGAAACAAAGTTTTCTATTTTACCACAATTCTCGTTAAAGAAAACTCCTTACTTGCTAGCAGCCGCAACATGACTAAGACAATATTTAGGTTCAGGACATGAAGCACAAAGTTCACCATGGCGGCAGTTTGGATTATCAGGAACTGAAATACAAAATAAAATATATCATTAGGAGAAACAGCAGTAAACTTGTATCCTTAAAAAGACAACGAACATATTCCAAAATGAACCAAAGTCGAAACGGAGAACACTATATATTTCGAAAATGAAACACTTTATTTCAGAGACTTTGATAAATGGGTTTCACTCAGTGGCGTAGCCAAGGGGGCGACCGCCCCCCCCCCCCCAATCGCCACAAAAACCATTCTCTGAAAACGGCTAATCCGTAGAGAAATTGGGGTATAATGTTACATACTCGAAGCTGAAACTGATTAAGTACGTATCGACTGAGGAAAACGACGAGGAACTGGATACTGGAGGATGTTGATTTGTAAAATCTCGTTGAAGCAGTTGTAGATATGGTTCCAAGAAAAATAGATTTAGTTTAGATTTACATGTATGTATACGTATTATCATAGCGTGAATATTCTTCTCAGACTTATTCTGCATCGTATAAAAAAGAAACGCAATTTTGAAAATGCGGAAATGGTGTCTCATAGAACCTAGAATGAACCTCACATTGGGATTTTCTCCCCCCAGCATCACAGAGGGGAAATAAGGTGACATTGATTCCTCCTCTTGTTTTTCAAGGTGATTTTTCCAATTTATTTAATTCCGAGTAGAAATGTCTGGGAAAATTTATGTCTTGGAGGTACTTTATACTCTTCGGAATTCTGCAAGATTTCACCCCCGAAATGCTTGAAATTGCATTTCAGGGACTCTAGATTTCAAAATTTTCCCGAGGGTGCATGCCGATGCCCCCGGACCGGGGGTGCATGACCCCCCTAGGCGATCTTACGCCTTCGGCGTTGGTCGACCTGCAGTTATCAAAGTGAGAAAATAACGTTAATTCTTTTCACGATATATGGTAGTCAGTTTATGTTTCGTGGAAAATAAATAGAATTGAAAGAAAGTTTAATTCTCTTGCCCTAAAAGTTTCAGCAGTTGTGAAATTGATCACTGTCGATCTGTTGCCTTGTAATGCTTGTACTCAGAAATGTTTCTAGCGTTTGGAAAGCTTACCTGTGATATTCACATTTAGCGTCGTAGGAAGGATATGCAGGGGATATAAGGTACTTCGGCATACTATAGGGATATCATAGGATGTATCTCCACGAGTGAAAACAGTCTTGTTCACATATAATGTTGGGGGTGAGTCTTGAATATAGAAATATTCATTCACGAAAACTTTATTACTTAAAGTATCCACGCCTTCCTGAATATGACATGTGTATTCTGATAATTGGCTTGAATAATTCTTCAAGTCATTTGTCTCACTAATCCCGCATTGCAGCTCGGGATAGTCCAAGTCTTCTATCAAAAAGTGACCAACCACTGAACAGTTCTCACGGGGTCGCGGGCTCGTCAGGCAGATTGCTGTAGGCATTTCATTCACATCTGTGGGGAAGAAATATTATATAGTTCAATTATAATAGTTCTAGGCCAAACTGAGTTTACACAAGACAAAGGAATAATTTTGTTTGTCAGGTGTATATATCTTACCTAAAACTTCAATCAGGAATTGCTTTGTAAAAACTCCAGATATTGAAGCCACACTGCTGATGGTGATAGGCAAACTCTTGTCTGCTGGAAGCCGTTCATAATCCAAAGTATTGTCAAGTTTTACTTTTAAAATATTCCGATCAATTTCAAACGGCTGTGTTATATTCGTGACTTCAAGGATGTGATAGCTGATCTGTTCATCATCCAGAAGTGGTGTTCGAGAAAGGTAGCCAATAATTATCGTACCATACGTGGAATTCTCTGGGACTGTGTTTGAACTAAGTTGAAAGTCAATCTCTGTTTCATTTGCTGGAAAAGAAACATGAAATTTTTGGAATAAATTCTGCGTATTTCTAGAAATATCTGAGAAGAGAAGTGTACCCGAGTACCAGACTAAGCTTACAAATTAACTAAATTCATACTGCATTAGCTTTGTCAATTCTAAAGTGGATTTCCTTGAGGTGTAGTGCATGCTACATGTAATAATGAGAATACATACATCCAATAAGGACGGAACAATTATGTACAGAATATTTAGTTTCATCCTTTTTGATTCGATATTCCTCAGCTCCGTTTTTTCGTTCAAGCACTGTACCATCGTCATCAACACGAATCCTAAATGTTATCGAGCTGTTGTATTCTTCAGCAGTCGGTTGCTTAAAAAAGACAGCAGGAGTATTACTTCATGTTTACTACCTGTAATACTCAACCCAGTAAGCTGCATTGAACCCTGACGCAGTGACGCGCCTTCCTAATTATTTTACTCTGTCTAACGTGAGACGATTCACTCGTCAAGGCGAGAGCGCTCAATGGGTCAAGCAAAAAAGATTAGATATGGTATAGTATAGTATGGTACGAATGGTATGGTATGATATGGCATGGTATGGTATGGAATGATATGGTATGGTATGCTGTGCTGAGTGGTTATATTACTACCTTAAAAAATAAGCAGAAACTCGACGTTTCGAGCGAAGGCCCTTCGTCAAGAAGTCACGAAGGGCCTTCGCTCGAAACGTCGAGTTTCTGCTTATTTTTTAAGGTAGTAATATAACCACTCAGCACAGCATTATCACATTGGCACTACCAACACTGGTACAGACAGTTATGGTATGGTATGGTATGGTTTGGTATGGTATGGCATGATATGGTATGGTGTGGTATGGTATGGTATGGTATGGTATGGTATGGTATGGTATGGTATGGATGGTATGGTATGGTATGGTATGGTATGGTATGGTATGGTATGGTATGGTATGTACAGTATCGTATGGAATGTGATGTTATGGTATGGAATAATATGGCAGGAAGGGTATGGTATAGGTAAACATTGAAGTTTTTGAGGCATCTCGCGCGATAGAACTAACAGTTGAAGGGTTTTTGTCGACGGAAATTTCAAGCAGCCGGAAGATTATAAACAATTTCAGCCCCTCTGGGAGGAATCGAACCTGCTCCTTGCGATTCCCGGGCAGCACTACTACTCTAACCAACTGAGCTACAGAGTTCATGCAGTTGTCCAGCTCAAACCACAAGTTCTTGAACATTTATACCTTCTTAAGATGTATAATTTCATTTTGTGTGAAATAAAATGGCCAGGGAATATTCTCGTTCTCAAAACGAATATTCAACCGCTGTTTACGTATTTCAAATGGTCCGTTTGGGTTTTGTTTCTTAGACATATGATAGCGTTCATTGTCAGGATCATAACTCTGGATTTGACCAAGGACTGCACCACGCGAGAACGAAGGTGACGCAAAGAATGGAGTATTGCACAGTATCTGTGGTGCTTCATTTACATCTGAAATGAGAATGAAGTTGATTTAGTTTAGTTTAATGGTATAAATTTACTGATAGAAGTAAACATTAAAAAAGTTCTCCCATTGTACCTATAACATTAATCTTGAACTGTTCTTCTATAAAATGTTCAGCTTGATCCAGGACAATATCTTTACAATTAATATCCACATATTCCACTCTCGAAGATTCAAAATCTAACGGACGAACAGTCTTAAGTGTTGGTGGGTTTGTTGAACTGTTAATGTAAAATGGCGTGTCATCATCGAGTATGGTACATCTATGTCGTTGACCCACATCTGGATCAGTAATTTCTAGAATTCCCACCAGTGTATCGTTCTTGTTTTCTCGGATTTCGAACTTGCTCAAAGTCAGGCGCGTTGGAGGTTCATTCACATCTTGAATTAGAACAGAGGGAGGGTCGTTAGAACATTAAGTGTGAGTTTCTATGTAGTTTCCAATGCATGCAGCCGGATAATTATTTCTGGGGCTCGTATGCTAACAAAGAAATTTACTCGAGTGGCCGTAAAATGAGTGAAATATATATTTTATACTATAGCCACTGTAAGTTAAGTAGTAGTACATGGGTAGTGTAACGTAGGATCTAAGCATTATAGTGCAGCAGGTGATGGTCAACTTGCATTTATCACAGAGAGAGAGAGAGAGAGAGAGAGAGTATAATGTTAATTTATTTCATTTTATGAAGTAGACTTGTATTTAGTGAAAAAATAGAACTGAGAGAAACAATTCGATGTCCTGTTCCTATTCCTCCTCCTGAGCATCATCGGAGGTCTTGTAACGCTTGGTGAAGCCCATTTTTTACAATGAAAATTCAGTACAATTTTATCCCACACCTTACTACACCAAAATTACCTTCAACAGGCAGATTTATCCACCGGGTAATAGAAGCTCCATATTGATCCTCACATCTCACTAAAATCTGCAAAGACTTGGATGAATCCAGACGTTCATAGTCTGTAATCGTTGGTCCAACCACGAGAATCATTGAGATCAACTTGACACGATCATTACTACTGTTCAGAAGTCTACACGAAGCTCTTGTACTGCTATCCTGGTCAATCATTTCAACCTGACTGATGAACACATTTTCACCACTATCTTCAGGAAGTTTCGCATCGGCCCGCTGAAGTCTGATGTCTGTTGGTGGGTCATTCACGTCTAAAATTACGATGGAGATTTATGAGTGCAAAAGAAATCATTTAATAGGGTAACGTCTCCAGAAAGAACAGTGCGGATATTCAATATAAACCAAGTTTGTAAAGTTAGTTTAATGGACCATTCCCCAATTGACCAAAATTTTGAACTCAACAAGTCTAGACAAAAGTTTCATCACAGCTTGAAAGAGCATAACAAAATTAGTAACATTCCAAAGTTTCGTTGCAAAATGTTGTAAAATGCGGATAATATAGCCTTGCGAAGTTTGCAATTTTCAGTCATTTAACTGACTCATTTTAGATTACAAACGGGAAACGGTTACCACTTCTGTGCGTAATCTAAAATGACTGAAAATCACAAACTTCGCAAGGCTATATATTATCCGCATTTTACAACATTTTGCAACGGAACTTTGGAATATTGCTAGTTGTGTGATGCTCTTTCAAGCTGTGATGAAATTTTTGTTTAGGCTAGTTAAGATCAAAATTTTGGAAAAGTGGTAACCATTTCTCGTTTGTAATCTAAAATGACTGAAAATTGCAAATATCTCAAGACTATATTATCCGCATTTTACAACATTTTGCAACGAAACTTTGGAATATTACTAATTGTGTGATGCTCTTTCATGCTATAATGGAATTTTGTCTAGACTTGTTGAGATCAAAATTTTGGTTAATTGGGGAATGGTCCATTTATACTAAGAGTTGATCAAACAGTCTGTTGATGAGAGTTTGCAGTCACGTATTGTTACGGGGAACACTTCAAGCTCTAGATTAACAAAATAAAGGTTTGAAGAGTGTTCCAACTATGTTTCAACTTAATTTAAATAGAATACATGATAGTGTTGGGAAAGCATTAAGAACAGCTAACCAAGGTCACGTGATTGCCAACTCTCATGCACTCTCATTCTCATTTGATACTACGGGCTTTCATTTTATTAAACAAACCTTGAACAGTAATCGTAAATATCTTTTCCAAGTATAGTCCACCGTTATCAGTGACTCGAGCATGAACACTAATACTGGGTGTATGTTCAAAATCAAGTGGTCCAAGAAAAAAGAGTTGATCTTTGTTGGTTCCACCAATACGGAATGATTGCGAGTCTCTCACAGTGTAGATAAATGTCTGGTTTATTCCTTCAGGGTCTTTCGCAGATAACGTGCCGATATAGATCATGCTTGATTCACTTTCGTTAACACTTGTACTCGATATGACAAGAGACGTAGGTCGCTCGTTTACGTCTGAAGAGAAAAGTTTAAATGTGTTAGTAATGAAGGTACATGTATAGTTAGTTAGATCGTTGCCACAAGCGACAGTTAAGCCCTGGGCAAACTATAGGAAACATTGTTGCGGAAACATTGTTTCCTGCCAATGTTTCGCCATGTTTCCCAGAGTGGGCAAACACTAGGAAGTAGGGAACATTAGTGAGAAACATAGGGAAACATCAAATGTTTCTGAATTTTGTAGAAACATTTTTGCTTCTCGGGAAGCAAATTTTGTTTCCGCACAATGTTTCCATGCACGGGTTGGCAAACAGGGAAACATTTGATCACAACAATGGTTCCTAGTTTGCCCAGGGCTTTAGATTTGTGTGAATACCTGTGACTTTAATCAGGAGTAATTTGGAAATCCCAAGATTTGTATCTTTACAGAAAACAGTGATATTATACACTTTCTTTGTTTCAAAATCAAGAATCTTGTTTGCTTTGATTCGAAGAAGATTTCTTTGATTTATTTGTGCGATATAGAAAGCATCTTCATCGCCATTGAGAGAGTTCACAAGGGAACATGTGTGAATTTGAGTCAGTCCATTCTTGTTGTCTGGATCTTGTACCTGGAACAAAAGACGAGAATTTGTTGAATTGCCTCCTTTTAAAGTTTTTCTGGTTGACTGTAAGAAATTATTTTCACGTCAGATTTAACAAATCGAATAAAGCTAAGAGTATCTACCGAAAGTTGTGAGTAATATATCTTAATTGGAAGCTCTTTCAAAAGGCCATGTAGAGGGTGACAGAAGCACCAAAAATTTAATAAATTGTCATGTGTGACTATTTGTAAATAAAGCCTATCCATCATTTCAAAATTGAAATTTCCTTGCAATTTTCAAGAAGAAAATTTTTTCTCCAATTCGAACCCTGTAGCATAACATTTGACATGGACTATATATGTAACAATCAAACAATCTTTATAGTTGTATATTTTCCTTTATTTACTAGATGCAAACTCAATGTTTTCTCCTTCGCGCCCTAATTACATGTATGTGTCCTATTTTTCCCGCGCATTGTACTTTATTCTATAAATTATGTATAACTGTAAATCACCACAGTATATTGAAATGAAAACAATGCCAAATGGTGCATACCAAAAATTCACCAACCACAGTACCACCAGGCGAGTTTTCAGGCACTCTGTCATCAGATATCAAAATATCAGTGGGTCTTTCATTCACGTTCTCGACTTCAATTCTAAATTGTTTCCGTGTTACTCTCCCCGGATCTGTCACACCAACCCAAATAATGTATTCGTTTTCCATTTCATAATCAAGAGATCCTTTCACCACCAGAGGTACAGAACAGCTTTGGGTAGGTCTCCCATTTTCAAGACGGAGAGCACAAGTTCCAGAACCTAATACAAACAATGAATTTATATAAAATTTTTAAAAACGCGCGAACGACAAAACAGGTAAGCATGCACATTAATAAAGATGAGCAGGGTTTTCATACGATTTTACTCATCAAGGGGGGAGCGTTGGAGCCTTAGTGGGTAAATGGTAATTTTAATGTAAGTTTTCTCAGCTTTTGAATGAGTAATAGCCTCTGTTAACTTAAACTAAACTGTGTTTATACTGGATAGCTCTATCAGAGACAAGCCAGCGAAGAAACATAATTAAGGTGGTTGGTACAGTCAACTTAGAAGAGTGATATTTCTCATGTCCACATAATGAGAGCATTATAATGAGACAAATGAACAATGGATGATTCTTTCGGCTCAAAAGTGGTGCATTTTTCCGCGCGTAATACTAAAATACTCCAAATTTGCGGCTAATTTCACAGGGCTATATTTCCTGTATTTCAAAACATTTTGCAAACAAATTTGGCAATTTAAGGATGTTCTTTTAAGCTATAATGATAGACTTCGTCTTTCTTGTCTGGATCAAAATTTAGTCTATAGCTCAAGGAATCATCCATTGGACTCCAAGGGCCGGTTGTATAAAAGCTTAGTTAGCGCTATAAACTGCAGTTAAAAAGTAGTTAAAAAGCCTTAAAAAATAGTTAACTTTAATCACGTAGTTATGCCGGTTGTATAAAAGTGTAGTTAGCCTAAACTGCAGTTAAAAAGTAGTTAAAGTTAACTATGCTTTAGGGTATAGTTAACTGTCCAAAACGTAGTTAAAAATGGCGTTTGTATAGGAGTGAACAACATTTTTCAGTAAAACAACAATGAAAAGCAACGCTTACCTGAGATTTTCAATCGCTATCTTCCCTGTGAATGTTTCCTGACAATATAAACTCATCAAACGCTATCGCTTTGGTGTTTTTACGAAAACAGAACATATTTTTGCACAGGACGATTTCTCGAAGACGAAGTATGGTCCATTACACCAAGAAACACTGATATATAATTGCCAAACAGCTATACCTTGGTTTAACGTAGACATCTCAAGGAAAAACTGCATTCTTTTATGATTTTTGTGGCGGTTTTTCCTTGTTTTCTTTTTTCTTTTTCACTGTTTTCTAGTGTTTTGAATAAATTTCCCGCCTATTTGCAAAATAAGAGTCCACAATCATGTTGAAAATGTGTGTCCGCGGTCGTTACTCGCTCCTTACTTTATGTAATTTTGTGTTTAAACGCCCCACGCAAGCCCCACGCACAGTTAACTACGTGATTAGTTAACTATCCGACTAACTACGTTTTGTGCAACGCAGTTAAGTCATGTAGTTAACTAATTACAGTTAAGGATTTAATTACAGTGATTAGCGCTAACTACGTTTTTATACAATCGGCCCCAGGTGCATGAAAGACATAGACACTTACTACAGTTTTACCCCAAGGATATATATAGCTTGCTACTCACCTTCTAATTCAAATTTATCGAGAACTTTACTATCAGTTCCTTGCAAATCAAACGACAGTGTATCATTATCCTCATCTGTCGCAATTATCTTACCAACAAGCCTTCCCACTGGGGAGTTCTCAGACACGCGATGATTGGTTAGGTTGATATGTTTTGGAGATTCGTTGCTATCACGCACACTTATAAACATACTAACAACCTGGGAGGTCTTTCTAGGATTTCCATAATCAGTACATCTTACTTGAATTTTATGAATATTCTTGGACTCGTGATCTAAGCTCTTTGCAACAAGTATTTCGTTTCCACTAAGCGAGAAAAATCCGTTATCACTGTCGACAATCTCCCAGGAGAAATTTGAAGTCCTTCGTGGATCTACATCATCGTCTATTGCTGTTAGATTTCCGACAATGGAGTTCACGGGGACATTCTCAAAAATGTCGTTGTTTGAAAGTTCTAATCCATAGGGTGGATCGTTGATGTTTAACACCGTGATATGAAGAGTAGCTGCAGAATGCATCACTGGTGACCCGTTATCGGAGACATTTACAACCACCGAATAAGTATTATCACCCAAATTAGGAGTCCATACTAACGGAGTTTTTACTAATAACATATTGCCTTGGATAAGAAAATGTAAGTTCCCTTCCGAGTTTGAAATGCCGAATATTAGATGATCTTTTTGAGGGTCTGTCGCAGATAATTTACCAACTGGTGTTAAGACTGATTCTTTTTCATTAATGACAGTTTTTGATATGGTAACACCCAAAGGTGGGTCATTAAGTCTTCTGCAATAGTAAGGGGTAGTCCCTGGATTCCAATCCCACGAAACGGTCCTTGAATTTGAATCCAATGAACACACAGTTCTATCACTAGGGCTATCAAAATCAACTGTGGTAAAATTCTCAGCAAATTTTTGTCTGAAATTTGGTTGAGCAATCACTGCAAGTTTATAGCTGTCCGCGCACTTTAGAGTACAGGATCTTTGATATTGATATCCGTCATGGCAGTTGATTGTTGCAGGCATGCAGGTTGTTCCAAATTCATCACGGTATGCGTCAGCGGGACATTGTGGAGCGGTCAGCGGTGTGCATGATTTCGGTACACATTGACGAGGGTTGGATGAAAGTTGATACCCAGAGAAACAATCACACACATAACTACCGTCTGTGTTCCTGCAGTTTGAGTTGATACATGCTGCTGAACCATCCGAACACTCGTTTTTGTCCGCGCACGATTTCCTGTCGCCTGGGAAGAAATTAAATGAAGAAGATTGCAGAAATGCTATACTAAACTAATATTATTTATATTGGATAGCTCTATTTGTTATAAACTGTTCTTCCTAAAGGTCCAGTCAGAGGAATCTATCTTGCTTTCTTATTACCAAGACAGTGAACCTAAATTTACCTTTATTTATACCGGATAGTTCTGTCAGTTCTAAACTGTTCTCCCTAAACTTAACTAACTTTAAAGTGATCCCTTATTGATCCAAATCATCGAGGAATGGTTCTTGAACTAAGCTCTCTATGATCAACACACTCAACTTCAGAACATCAACTTCTTCAGTACTTGCATGTTTAGGTGACTTACAAACTTTACTTACAATATACTAGTGCACAGTTTATGATTCTACAACAAAATAGTATATCGATATACCATCATTACCTTGGAGTTCGTATCCTGGATTGCTAGTACAAACACACCTGCCGTCGTTTTCGATACACCTATCACCACAGCCCCCGTTCACCTGACCACAACCATCCACCCTAACCAAGGTAGGACAGCTTGATCCACCATGGGCAGGATAGGTGGTGATACGACGATATCGAGTACGTGAGCCAATTTCACATTTTTTGCTACAGGCACTCCATGAAGTCCAACCTGTGGAGAAAACAAATTTCATTTCGATAAAACTCTCGCTTGATACAAATCTTGGACATAATTGGTTGAGACTACCTTTGGCTGTATACAAAATTCGCACATGTACTTTATGACAAATCATGTTGCGCTTCTCAAGACTCCGGGTTGGCCCCGGCACTTCCCTAATTCAATGTTGGGCTTGTGTCAAAGTAAATTACAGAAAGTTGTTAAGTAGTCGTTCACAACATTGAGCAAGGCCTTGAGTAGAGAGGGCCACGAAGTTGGTTTGGCAATATACATTAGCGCCCAAACAACTAATCGATATTTTTCAAAAGACGCCTTCGTCTCAGCATTATAACTTACGAGGATCTATCTGCCCAGACGTAAGACTGGATATCTTAAAAAAGGTCTCAGTTATAGAGGAGCAAAATTGTGGAATAACCTTCCAGACGAACTAAGAAATAAGCAGTCTCTTATTTTACGCCTGTATTCTAAAAGCTCACTCACCCTCACACTCAATGAGTGGAGGTTCAATCTGAGCTTCTCTTGAGTGTCAATGCTGTTTTTGAATAGCTGGAGGGTGAGTAGTCACATAGTAAGGTACGACAATAACCCTCTAGCTATTCAAAAACAGCACTGACGCTCAAGAGAAGCTCAGATTGAACCTCCACTCATTGAGTGTGAGTGACCTGGCCAGTTAGATAAATTTGTGAATTTAATAAATTATTGTAGATGTAATGATAGTAAAGGCTGCATTCCAGTTACGAGTTTTTCATACGTGCGTACACGCACGTAAAAGTTGAATTCGCTTTACATCCTACTTATGAAATAACTAAATTTATAAAAGGACAGCATTCAGTTTTGTGTATGATTTAATGTGTATTTGTTAAGGTTATTTGCACTTATATGAAATTTTAAGCGAATTCAACTTTTACGTGCGTGTACGCACGTATGAAAAACGCGTAACTGGAATGCAGCCTTAAGTGTAACTGCAGCTGTCAGTCTAGTATTTGTAATTTGTTTTGTAACTGATTGTAAATATTTGAATTTTTTTAATCCACACCCCTCTTGGAAACCAGCTTTTGCTGTAGGGGTTAGTGTGGTCAAATAAAGTTTTTACTTACTTAATGACTTAAATATACATTAATTTTGCAATATCGTAAGGGATGTTCTGAAGCGTTATGGCGATCCAGCTCTCATTAACGTCGTTCGACTGACGAGAACGAAATGTAGAATAAAGAAAAACAAAGTCAAAGCGGAACTACAATTCTATATGCCCATTAAACATATACGACACGTAACTAATGACAACATAACATGCAATTAAAGACTCAAAGATTCTTTGAATGTAAACTGACAAAGTTTTATTTATGCTGGAAGTATGTTCACCCAGGTAGAAGTCCGGTACTGGCTTTATAGAGACAACTTGAGTAGACTAGTATTACTACAGGAAGAAACCGCGGAAACCCTGCAGGGTTTGGTCCAGTCACACTGACAAACGCGAATTAGACAAACGGACATTCTTCTTATATGCTTTCCAAGCAGATCACTTTTGCCAGATTACCCGCAATTTTCCACTCAAGTAGCAAAGGAAAGGGCTGTGTTATTTTGTTAGCGTCATTTTGTTTAGCACTGATTATTATCGATGTCTGTTACACTTCCACTCCACACTAGATAGAGAAATACTGAAAAGTGTTACCAAAATTCATGAAATGTGCATAGAAATCTAGAAGGAATTTCTGAAATTTGGCTGCGCTTTGGATTAAACTGAATAACTGGAGTTCTCAGTTCCAATTAATTGGTGCTCCAGGTGTTTTCTTTAAAAAAAGGGCGTTAGATTTAGATTAGGGTTAGTTTAGGGTCAGATTAAAATTAGATTAAGGGTCAGGGTTGGGGATGGGTTCAAAATAAGGCACCTAACACCTAAATATAGTTTATATAAAAAAGATGTCTTAATTTGAGCGCTTTTTGACAATTAAGCCATAGCCTTAATTTTGGGAAGAAATTAACGTGTTGACCAATCAGTGACGAGGTAGTTTACAGCCAATCAGCGACGGACTTAAATAACAATGACGCAATGTTACTCTATGATATCAATGTTGTTCTAGTTGGCTTGTTGACGGTTGTTGTCAATTGGTAGACGTCTATTACGTCCTGTAGTTGGTGCGTTTTCCGACTATTTCTTTGTTTTCATTGTCAGTAGTTTTTGTGATGCCAATTTTTCATAATGAAAGTAAAAAGCCTAAAACAAAGACGAATAACATTTGCGTCGAATATTTTACGGTGGCACAGGCAAGTTAAGACAATGAAACCATTTTGAATCTCAGTATGTCTACCAGAATGCGGAAAGTTTAGGAAAATAGAAACGAATTTCAATAGGTCACGTCTGCTGGCTTCAGCTAGTTTGACCTTGTTTGATCTTTTATTATCCACGGTCAGTCTACTTCCTGCAAGGAAGTAGATATTACCAATGGATTTATTTTCATGTTTTTAAACTCAAGAAATCGGCTCCACAATGTCTGGAGTTAAATCAGCCCTATGACTATGTAAGGAAGAACATTCTGGACATAACTCCCCCTCTACTCCGCCCCCCCACCCACACCTCCACCCCCTCCCTTGGCGGCACAACTGTTTTTATTCTTATCACAAGCGCGTCTAAAGCAAGCGTTAATTCATCATGTAAATATTTCAAATCAGAATAGCACATAAAGTCATAAGATCTCGAAAGTGAATTATGACTAATTTTGAAATTCTGTTTAAAACAGTACAAGTCACAAGTTTCGTTTTTCACAAGAAAACATGTCAACTGGTAATTGTGGCAAAACTGCAAAAGGTACGTTTACATGCTGCGATTTGTCATGTAGAATTCGTAATCTGGCGAATGTAATCGAACAAACACGCGTCAAATAGTTGCATTTCACTGATTTCGCTGTGAACTGAACAAAGAGGAATTGTGTGGCGTCAGCAGTAATTTTTATCAACGCCAGAATATGAATCGTACATGATAAATCGCAGCGTGTAAACGTATCTTCATAACTCAGTCTTATAAAAGACTGGATAGCCCAGAAATCGATGGATAGCACAATTCGTGTTATTTGTAAAAACGAGGACCACAGTCTCGTAACTGTGAATTCAAATTCTGCTGAAGACAGCAACTTTCGTTTTCTCAGCAATGACAAAAACATTACGAAAACTGTCCTAGGAAATAATATCACTTTGCCCGACGTGAACATATGTCGCTCACGAACAATGTCCTCTCATAAAATTTCCCCCTTTCACTTAATTTTCGTCGTATCGTCGTATGTCGCAATTTCAAGTCTAATTAAGTGCCTCCTGAAACGGTTAGATTTGATGCTGTGGTAAGCAAATCCGATGCGTGACTGGGCCTTAAAATAAAGTCTAGTAAACTAATCCGGTCTGGGAAAGCTTGGG